GTCTGAATGAGATATACACGAGGCAGATGTTTGTCTGAGGAGAACCCCCCCAGCTCCTCCTCCTTCAGTTCCCCACACCTGGCACATGCACTTTTCTCTTCAGCACCACAAATGAAGGCCTGCTGAGCCATTTGTTGAAAGTGGAGAGTCATGACGCTTAGCTGCTCATCACCAACAACAACACCATCTTGGCATCTCATTTGATTGGTTACCGTAGTGATGACTCCTGTATTGAAGAACTAACTTAGTAAGCTGATTGTTTGGATTAAATGAGAGATTACAAACTCACTAGAGCGGCTGCTTTTAAAGCTACAGTGTGACTCCGTAGTCCGCTGAGTCCACATGAAGCTTTGTGTTGGATGTAAATGTAAAAAAGAGATGAATTAAACACCTTCTAAAGATTAAAGTCCCATTAGTCGTTACACACCGGTGAAAATTGTTCTCTGCATTTTACCAACAACCTCTAGGAGAGCGGTGAGCTGCAGACATGGTGGCGCTCAGGAACTATTTGGTGGTTTAACCCCAACCCAACCCCTTAATGCTGACTGTCAAGCAGGGAGGCATTAGGTCGCTTTTTACAGTCTTTGGTGTGACCCGACCATGGAATTGAATTTTCCTAGGACTAGTTGTTACAGATCCCTTTCAGCACAATAGTTGAGAACTTGGTGGAGTGCGCTTTGCCATAGATTTCGTGGTGAAACTGGCGTGACACATCTTCAGTTGTGTGCCCCGACCTCATTGGGTGTTTCGGCGATCACAATACACACTCTGCCGGGGTTGGCCCACCCCTGGTTGATCAGACCCGGGTGTGTGTCACTCAGAAGCACGACATCATCATTTGGCAGCCCAAATAGCATCCCTTTGTTTAAGCCACAGCCAGTGACTGCTCTGTTCCGCTGCAGTGGCGAGCTCTTTGATTGCCCTCCGTTGTGCCTGGCCTCTGATCCCTACTTCCTTCAAAAGCCTTATTATGGAACTGGCTACAAAACCTCTGCATCCCACTTCCACTGGCCACACCTTCACGTTCCAACCCCTCCCCTTTGCTTCAGCTGTTAGGCTTGCATACCGCAGCCACTTTCGTTCGAATGCTTCGTCAACCAAGGGACTGTCAGCTCGACGATGAAGACACGCCGGCAGGACCTTGACCAAAGGACGAGGTCTGGGCGCAGGTTGGTTGCAGCAATTTCGGGTGGAAAGGTGAGCCTCTGTTTGAGGTCTACACGCAAATCCCAGTCTCGGGCCCCATCCAATGCACCAGGGTTGGTACTAGATGGCTTTGTCCGCTGCTTCTCCCCTTCCCGCATGAAGATTTTCTGTGGGATGGCAATCTGGCCATTGGTAGGCATAGCGTTGATGGTTACCCTCTTTTCCTCAAGTTTGGCTTTGAACCCACTACTCCCAGTCCTAGTCTCTGTACATGCAAACGATTTGGCAGCCTTGTAAATCTTCATGATTTTCCTGTATAAGTTGTTGGTTGTTTAGATTATTGTTTTCTGTTAAACATATCTTACAGGAGACACACACAGATGTTACAGATCAGTTTACAGAAAGTGCAGTCGCTGTTTAAACTAAATTAGGCAGGTGCATAAATGTGGGAACTGTTGTCATTTTATGGATTTCAAAGCATTTAGAACTACTTATTAGAACTCTAAATTAGTTTGGTAAGCTCAGTGACCCTTGACCTCCACACAGGTCAATCCAGTTATGAGAGTATTTCAGGGGTCTAATCATGAGGTTCCCTCCTCTTTGAATGTTCTCTAAAGAACACCAACATGGGGTCTGAGACAACTCTCACATGACCTGAAAACAAAGATTGTTCACCGTCATGGTTTAGGGGAAGGGTACAGAAAGCTGTCTCAGAGGTTTCAGCCGTCTGTTTCCACATTTAGGAACATACTGAGCAAATGGAAGAGCTCAGGCACATTCAAGTTCAGGCGCCAGGTGGCAGACCAAGAAAACTCTCAGATAAACACAAATGAAGAATGGCGAGAACAGTCATTCAACCACAGACCAGCACCAAAGACCTACAGCATCATCTTGCTGCAGATGGAGTCACTGTGCATCGTTCAACTATTCGGTGCACTTTACACAAGGAGATGCTGCATGTGAGAGTGATGTAGAGGAAGCCCTTTCTCCACCCACAGCACCAACAGAGCTGCTTGAGGTCTGCTGAAGCACATCTGGACAAGCCAGCTTCATTGATAAGGTGCTGTGGACTGATGAAACTAAACTGAGTTATTTGGGCAGAACAAGGGTGTTATGCATGGAGGAACAAGAACACAGCATTACAAGAAAAACAGCTGCTACCTACAGTAAAACATGGTGGAGGTTCCATCATGCTGTGGGCTGTGTGTTAAAGTTGAAGGATGCATGGATTCCACTCAGAATCAGCAGATTCTGGAGACCAGTGTCCAGGAATCAGCGACAGAGCTGACGCTGCAGCGGGGCTGGATCTTTCAACAAGACAACGATGCTAAACACTGCTCAGCATCTACTGAGGCATTCGTGCAGAGGAACATGTAGAACGTTCTGGAACGGCCAGATGCTGCTATTTCTGCAAAAGGAGGATCTACTAAACATTTCTTTTTTGTGGTGCCCAGATTTATGCACCTGCCTAATTTAGTTTAAACAGTTATTGCACACTTTCTGTAAACTTTGTTTCACTTCTCAAATCTCACTGTTTACGGGAACATGGTGAAGATTAACAGGACTGCCCAGACGTTCGTATCCCACTGTATGTCTCACGCAGCAGGTGTTGCTTCCCCAGCTGGACATCTGCATAGCAACCATCCATCTGAACTCTTGAACAAAAGAGTTTGCCCATTAAAAGGGTTACTTTTTTTTCTGTGGCTGTGAATGTTATCATCAGCCACCTTCTCCATCACCGGCTGTATATTTAATCATTCAGCGCTCTAACATATTTCACTTGCTTGTAGTGTTCTGAACCCCAGGTGGCTTGTGTCAGGAGGAATCGGTAGTTTCAGTCTGGGGTTCCCTGCTGGGTGGGGTCTGCGTTTGGATGCAGCAGCAGCAGCAGGACCACTGCGCCTGTAATCGCTGTACGAGCTAAAGCAGATCCCCGGGGCACGTCGCCTCTACTCCTCCACCTCTCCTTACAGAATGTTGTTTCTCATCCTGATGTTTGAGGTCTGGAGCGTTTGCAGAGTATCTAGTTTGAAACGTGTGTCCACTAAAGGACAGGACAGTGGGCCTAATGCTTCCCTGCTTGACACTCGGTGGCGACCAACACCCAGCTCTGTGTAGGAGTTGTGGAATAAAGGACCTTCTAGTATTTGCAGAAATGATTCTCCAAAATCAGTTGCTTTGGTCATTTTTCCTTTTTGACTGCAAAAAAACTTTTAATTGATAAAAATGTCAGAGGTGAACAAAAGTGTTGAAGAGAAATGCTTCATAAAACAAATAAGCATATATATTTTTGTTTCTTTACCAGCTGGGGATATATTTAAACATAAAAGTAGATGACTCAACTAAATCTTGTCAGTGGGACTGCATGCATGTCTAAAAGCTGCGTTCAAACGTCCAGCTGTTTCAAACAGCTGGACGCAGGAGGCTGGACCGTGGAGGGGCGGGCAGACTGCAGAGCAGGGTGGGGAGGGATGGAGGGCTGATTCCTGCTAGTGGATGAGCCACAGCCACGGAATTCCGCCTCACCAGCCTGTAAGTACCGATCCTGGTCCCATATGGAGCCCGGCACTCCTGGTGAACAGATGGGTGGAAGCGGAGCGGAGCAGATGTTTTGTTATGATAACGAGGGAGAGGCGGGGGATGGGGTGGGATTTCTCAGTGCATGCACACACAAACACACACAGGCAGGGAAACACATATCGCATTATTTAGAGCAAATTCAATTCAGCTTGCATGCATGAATGTCGGTTTAAACGAGGCAGCAGCGTAGACACGATGTGTGTGAGGACAGCCGGTGTGTTGGTGTTCACAGCCGACCGCTGTTGTTTCTGCAGGGTTTCTCCACCCATCCGTCTCCCACCATGCCTCCACCAAGCACAGCCTCCTGCTTGCGTTCACGCGTGCAGAGCACGGCCACAGATGCATGCAAACTGCTGCATTAGCAGCTTACAGCATGACAGCAACATGTTTACCGCAGCATCAGAACCCAGGAGTCACGCTCTTATTAGATGTTTTTCACACCATGAACTGAAATGAGTAGGAACTAGACGCAGCTCGTCTCTGCGTTGGTTTGGTGGTTGCATCGTTAAGCTTCTGCACTTGCATGAAACCTGCACGGTCTTCTGGTGGAGCTTTAGATCTCATCAACACCGCTCTTGAGAATAATCTTTGGAGGAATAAAAATATCAATGTTTGTGCTGATCGTTGCACTCTTACCATCAGCTCTGTGACACCTTTTTAAACTCAGCTCTAGTCTGTCTGGATTTAGTATGTACTTTATCATTTGTGAGTAAAGGTCATTTGAATCCAGTCGTTGGAATACGATTCTCAGGTTTCATCTAAAAGGTGCATTTTCCTGTCACCTTTTTGACTTCAAGTAGACGGTTGCAGGCTGGAATGTTGCCGGAAGCTTCATCATCTTCATTTAGACAATAACAGAGTTGCCACCTCTCCTCCCTGCATTGTGCTGGTTTGTGGGGAAGAATGAGCCAATGTAGGTCACTGACCTGACGGCTAAACTGGATTTCAGAGACGAACACCCAGCTCTGCGTCAGATGTAGGTCAGTGTGCCTCTCTGCACTGGCGGTGGCGACGAGCCACTCCTGTGATGTGAGGATCTGGTTCTGGCTGTGGCCAAGTCGGTCTTGTTGTCTGGCAGAGAAGGATGCTGGTAGCTGTTGGATGCCATCACAGCTTTAAATTAACACGATTAGAAAAATCGTTATCGTCTGACCTCAAAAACACAACAGGTGCTAGCATCATCTAGTCAACAATAATCAAACCCAGATAAAAAATCTAGTTTTTATAAAGTCTCCATTTTAACCTTTGGTTACATGTCGCATTTTTCTCGCCAGGGTAAGGAAACTGAAGGAGACGCTGGTGACTGTGCAGCAGCTCGACAAAAACATGAGCAACCTGCGGACGTGGCTCTCTCGTATCGAAGCAGAACTGGCCAAACCGGTGGTCTACAGCGTCTGTCACAGCAACGAGATTCAGAAGAAACTTGCTGAGCATCAGGTGGGAAAAGCAAAGCCAAAGACATGATCATCAAAACCCGTAAAGTTTTATGTGTAAAGGAGCCACGGGCATAGGAACAAATTCAATATTGGGGGGACCCCCCCCCCCCCCCCCCCCCCGGTTCCTACGCCCTAAAGCCGGGCGTACACTGTGCGACTTTTTCACTCGCAGCGTTCAGCTTCAGCTCAAACTGTACGACTTCCTCGCAGAGCAGATCTCACGAGTCATGTGCTCACACCGCACGACCCAGTTCTCGCATGCGACCTGACTGCTCACACTGTACGTCTGGTAGCAACACGTCGGCCCTAAAAAATGTGCTAAAAATAGCAGTTTTTACTCAACACATCAGACTTTTCTGTCTTGTCTTGCCTGTTGTCCTTTGGGAGTGCTGCAGGAGGACACACCAGTGTGTGAATGGGTGAATGACTGATTGTGTTGTAAAGCGCCTTGGGAGGTTCCAGGACTCTAGAAGGCGCTATATCAAATACAGGCCATTTATGGGGGTTGGATGAGGAAAACGAAATAAAGAAAGTAAATCTGTGTTTTGTGATAGTTTAATTTGACATGAACACGACAAACACGCTTTCTTGACAATCTTTGTGAGTAAAAAAACGTGTAGAAACAAAAACGAACAACGTGTGTTATTAGGGAAATAGCGACCGGCCGGCGTTGATGCAGGATTGCGCATGCGCCGTGAGCGGTTCTGATACTTTTTGGGTCGCAGCTGCTCGCAGCGCCACTCCAACAGTGCGATACCCTCACGATGGACGAGCGAAATATTAAACACGCCAGAAGTCCGTGCGACCTCACGACTGCTGATCGGCAGCTGGTCACGTGGTGTTAATCGCCTCTCGTAACCCCCTGTACACTACACGACCGCTCGGCGCAAAACTCACCCCGATGTCGTGGATTCTCGCACGACTGGAAAATCGGCTCAAAAAAGTGAAAAAGTCGCACAGTGTACGCCCGGCTTTAAGAGGAGCAACACAGACAGCAGGAACACAGATTTAGTGGCAGGGTTTGTTTTTGTTCTGACACAAGAGCAGAAAGTCTGTTTAACCTGCAGTTTGTAAATGATTCAGCTCATTCTGAAGGGGGTTCATTAGCCTTTCAGAGCTAACTCTGAAATGTAAACGACACAAAACACAAGAGTCCAACAATTTGTACTTCTTTGTTAAAAAGCAACAAGAACCCTAAATAATGAAAGCGGTCGGTCCCAGTGCGCTTCAGAGAACCGTTAAACTAATCAAAACTAATTCAAAAGTAAACAAAATGCTGTGATGGTGAAGCACAGTCCGTGTACAACACAACAAAAGTGAGAAACAGAGAAAAGGCTCACAAGATACGCCTGGTCCCACAGTCTTTCTGTTACAGCCACCCTGGCGGGGTCCGAAAGCTGGCCGACAGAAGAGTGCAGCTAAGTAAAATCCCAGCAAGCGCCGAGAACAGAGCTGTTTGTGAGGCAGCGAGCTGGCACGCTGAGCCGAGGGGCGGTAAATGCACGGAGAAGGTGGACTCGTGAGGTGGGCCAGAAAGGAAATGGACTTCAGCCTTTTAGTCCGTTTGTTGTCAGCCCTACTAAAGGGCTAAAAGATGCTAGCTGGAGAGAGGTGGAGGGCTAAAAAGGTTCTGGGGGAGAAATCTTCATCCACAAGTTGAAGAAGATGTGATCTTTCAGTACTTTTGTCCTTTTAGTGAGAACAGGAAGTGATGTGTTGGCTCCTGGCTCTGTTGCGCTATGCCGAAAAGATGGCTGAAGGCACTTAGCTGCCGCTCATCACTCTGTGGAGAGTCTGCTCCAGACTTGAGACTTCCTGGTGTTAATAAGAAGACTAAAGTGTACACTTGAGAACTCTTGTTGGGCACAAAGACGTGTTTCAGGAGCCGCAGCATCATTTGTTTAGATTTTAACAGTAAAGATGGCTGTAAACAACTTGCTTAACTTCACGTTTCAGCATGTCCTCTAAAGCTGAAGAAACATGTTGGACAGAAAATTGCCTGAAGAAATAAGAGTTTTCGCTGATGGGGGAAATGGTCCCAGTTAGGGGGAAAAGAAATTGAGACGGGTGAAAAACGGAGACAGAAATCCAAATTGGTGACAGTGAAAAAGACGTGGAGAAGCAGTCTTGTTGAAAGAGCCGGGACTTCTCCTGTTCAGCAGAAAAGGCTGCAGGTCTCCCCATTAGTGGATGAGGGACGGCTGAAATGACTCCTGGATGGAGAAGCTGTGAAAGCTTTCAGTGGTTACCACGGCAACCAGGAGAGTGGTAACTGAACAAATAGGAACCAACAACAAGTGCTGTCAGGCTCTACAGATGGAGCTGTGCGCGCGCACACGCACACACACGCACACACACACACACACACACACACACAGCAGTTTGGTGTCAAAGTACAGATGTGGTTTATTAAAGTCGCTTCACTGAACGTGTTTTCATCAGCACGCTGAAGTGAGTTACTGACTATAAACACATGCGATTAACACTAATGACGATTTAATACAAAATTTACAATTACTTATTATGGATGTCGAGATCTGATCACGTGACCGGGAATCGGTCCCAATCACGTGATTCAGACTCGATCGGGATCGGCATTGCTTCCTGATCCGGACTCAGTCAGAGAGCCCGGAAGAGGTCCTGTGTTTACCTGCATTACATTATTTATATGGACTCTGTGTGGTGGCGATTCTTTTGAGCTGATTGTTCTCGCTGCAGGCAGCTGCGTCCTGCGCTCAGCCACCGTAACATTCTCAAAACATGCATAACTAACACGGTCATTCATTTATGGGCCGTTCCCATCTGTACCGGGTCGGCCCGGGCCGGGTAGCGTAGGTTGTTTACATATCTGGGTGGCCTGGTATTTTTCCGGGCCAACCAAGGCTCATTCTCAGCCCTCTTCTCGAGGGGGTCTGCTTCAGGCCGACCAGGACCAACACACCCACTGCTGACAGCAAATTCACACCTTCCATTAGAGCAAGCCTCTGATTGGTGGGTAGAATCAGCCCACATGGGCTTAAGGCAAGGATGTGTGGAATCAACCGGGCCAGGCTGGGGCCGACTGGGTCTACCCGGCCCGGGCCGACCCGGTACAGATGGGAATGGCCCATTATTCTCTGGTAAGTGTGTTTTATTGGTGCCGCTGCAGAGCTCATCACCCGTGGGCCGGTGACTCCACCTCACTGGTGCACCCGGCCAGCGCACGCTCTGATCTGCTCAGTTCAAATGTCACTTCTGAGGGGGAAAGTAGAAAGTCAGGCAGCCGTTTTTTTGGAGGAGAGGCCGGAAGATCAGAGGCAGACAGGAAAATAAAAACCCAGAAAACAAGACGAAGTTCTTGAAAATAAAATGTAGGTAGCTTTGTCCCACTACATGTTGGCAATCATTTATAATCATGCAAGTCAGCAGGGGGTCAGACTGGGAGGGTCCAACGCCCCTGCCCCACAAAAATGTTTCATTGTGGTTTTTTTTCCCGACTTACTTAGTAAACTTCCCTTTACCTGGATGAAGAGGTTAAAAATAATAAGTGAGTTATCTCTGAGGCATCCATCACCCCTTAGAAACGTGCTAAGTGTTTAAGGCTGCAGCCTGCTACAGCCAATGAGACACGCGGACAGCCAGAGCTGGAGGCAGCAGAAAGTCACGCCTTCCCCACAAAGCAAACCTGGCTTCCAGAAAATGAGGAAAAGTTCCCTTATTGATCAGGTTTTCCAAGGAGAGAGGTGAGATATTAGCTCTCAGACTGAAAGCTGCATTCATGTTCAGTGATTAATGCCTTTCGTTTCACCATTAAGATCAATTATGAAATAATTAGTATTATTAGAATGATTACGGTGGACCTCGCAGTGAAAACAGGTCTGCTCTGTGTGGATATTCCAGCTCCTTCCTAATCATGGATCAGGAATAACTTAGGATCCATGGATTCCTTGTAATCTCAGGAATGTGAAGTAGCCGGTGTCATCCTGCAGTACAGACCTAACAACTGCATCGTTAATCCCAGATTATCTACTTGAACTCGACTAAATGAAAATAGCCCAAAGGGCACAGTGGAGGAAACTGACTTTAAGCCATAGATTATGGACCATAATAAAAGTTGGAAAAAGGAATAGTCTAATTATTACGAGTTCCTGTTGCAAGGTATGGAGAGCCAAAAGTGACGCAATTCTATAAATAACTAAAGCATTAAATCATTTTTTAAATGTATCAATAAATACTTTAAATATTTGACATAATCATGAGTAAAATATTAATTAAAATTATAAATGGATATTTCATGACTTGTTTGATTATTTCATGGTTTGTTCATCATGGTGGCGTTATGTCTAACAACCTATCCATCACCGTCAGTGAGCAAGGCTCAGGTCGAACATGGCCGCTTATACTTCATTTATTTATGTTTTACGAGGATAAAACCACTAGAGACGAGACGTCTGGTTCTCCAGCGGGTCCTTTACCTTAGAGGGCTTTTATTGACTTGGTTAGAGATATTTTAATCTAACAAATAAAACGGCAGCTGACTCAGGATCAGTGGTAAAACAGTACAAGAGGAGTTTCCTCACTGATACACAATATCTGTAGAAGTACTCCTGCACGGGCTCCGTCTACATGAGGTGTTATGTACAGATGTGTTACCCAGTGGACATCTTTTTCTTTCTCTAGTCCAAGGTGTAGTGTTTTAGGAGAATTGCTAAACAGAAGATGTTTTAGGTTCACTGTAACAGGTAAACGCATCTGGTTGGCTCAACAACACCATTAAAGTGTCTCCTGAGTTCACTGGTAGACATTGTTGTTATAGTACATTCACATTTGTATGCTGTATTAGGAGAACACCCTGAGGCTGGAACTGGTTTAGAGAAGTGTGGACACAGTTTGGACGGTGTTACACATTTCTACATAACACCTGTACAGATGAAGCACTGCTGACCAGATCTGGATCAAACAGGAAATTCCTCATTAAATTCCTGTTTTACCAGATTTTGTTTTATCTGGTAGGATTAAAATAGTTCACCAACCTGTAAGGAATCTTTCATAAAGGGAGCGGCCATGTTTGTTATCAGAATTAGCTCCGCCCACTGACTTTTATGGGAGAGGATGATAAAAATCAATACTGATGAACAGACTATGAAACAATGAATCAAATCATGAAATAATGACATATGATTTATTAACGAATTAAATGTTTTCATTGACACAATCCATTAGTTTTATATTTAAATAATTATTTAAGCAGAATAATCCTTCACTAATTGTGAAAATGTAACTATGAAACTTTTCTTACTCAAGCTGTGTAAACATTTCAACCGTCCAGTTTTTAAACAGAGTTCAACGATTTCAGTTTTCTGCTGTTGAGCATTTTTTTCTCTGTTCTTCACCTACATTTTTAACTTTATTACACTTGTTGGTGATTTTTGCTTGTAAATCTTTAAATACATTCAGCTCATTTTGACAGTTTTGCTTAGTTTCAGCTTCACTTCAGCTATTCAGCAGCTTCAGCAATCAGTTTCTGAATTCGGCTTATGCTGCTCATGTCAGTTCAGCTAAATGTAAAAGTTAAACAGTGAAACTAGTCCTACTCAGACAACACGTGTTTAGACATTTTTGCTGTCCAGATTTTTAAACAATGTTCACAGATGTCAGTTTTCTGCTGTTTAGGATATTTTTCTCCGTTCTTCACTTACTTTTTGTGCTTGATTCACTTTTTGGTGCTTTTTGCTTCCAAATCTTTCAAAACGGCTCATTTGGACAGTTTTGCTTACTTTCAGCTTCAGCTTAGCTATTACGCAGATTCAGCTAAAAGTTTACGCTATCCAGCATTCAAACAGCCTTTCTGCAAGAACTGCAATTGATCTAGTGTGATTTAACATTTCATTATTGTAACAATGTAAATCAGTATTAGCATCATGAACCACATGGCAGCAGCAGCAGCAGGGCCGTCATTCTCTCCAGATAGCACTGAGATTGTATTTGCTCAACTAAGATCATATTTATTATCTCGTCTCATAGCCTGACAACAAGTGTGCATGAGCGATATTAAGCAAGTGAGCATGGGGGCCCATCTAGGTGGCCTATGCCAAGGGCCCAGAATTTGATGCTACGCCCCTTCAAGTAAGATCAACTTCAACACTCAGTCCCACGCCCAGGGCCGTATCAAGGCATTTTGGGGGCCAAGGCCAAATAGACCCCTACCCAGTATTTTAAGTTAAGGTGCTATTTGTTTTTTTATATTAGACTTTTTTGTTCTTGCACTAAAGTCCAAAAGTAAAGATTTGTTGTTATTTTTACTTGATTGTTCTGTTTGTTAACGGAGTTGTTAAATGTTAAATGAAGTTAATTAAATAAAAATAAGGAACTTTCTGGATCTGTTCCTTAGTTTATTTATTCTCTTTTTATGTATCAAAAGTATCAGATTGGGACTCGGTATCGGAATATTCTCTAAGTCAAATGACTCGGACTTGGACTCAAGTGCAACAAAACCTGGTCAGGACATCCCTACTATAGCATGCTAGAGAATCCTACATGCACAAAGCACAGAAGGAGTCATCTGCCCTGTCTGACCTGCAGGATCTGCAACGGGACATCGAGCAGCATACGGAGTGCGTGGCGTCCGTTCTGACGCTGTGTGACGTTCTGCTCCATGACGCCGATGCTTGTGGCAGCGACTCGGAGAACGACTCCATCCTGCAGACCACCCGCAGCCTGGACCGCCGTTGGAGGAACATCTGTGCCATGTCCATGGAGCGTCGGATGAGGTGACGCCAGACAAGAGTACAGACCGATGGGTTTCTGAATAGTCCCAAAACATCTCAGAAGAAGACTCTATGAGATAAATACAAAATATGTAAAAACATTATCACACAATCAAAATATTAAAACTTTAACGTTTATTTCAACACATCTCTGTTGAAAATCAGATTCACAATACTAGCATGTTAAGTCAGCAAATCCTCATGAAAGTAATAAAATTGAGTTTATGAGTGTTCTCCTGCGGCGCCTCAGGATCGAGGAGACGTGGCGTCTGTGGTGTAAGTTCCTGGGTGACTATTCTCACTTTGAAGAGTGGCTAAAGACCGCTGAGCGGACTGCCGCCAACCCCGAGTCTGCCAACGTCCTCTACACCAGCGCCAAAGAGGAGCTGAAGAAGTTTGAGGTCAGACGCTCATTTTTATATTTTTCACTTTGTTTGAGCTATTGGATTAATTCTGTACGGGATGCTGCAGGTGGACTCGTGTCAAGGATCACCATGGTAGTGCTAACAATGAGCTAACGCTAACATGATACCAAATAAGCCCCCAGGTAAAGAGATCGACACAGTCCTGTCGTGGTCTTTGGGTTAGGGATAATACTCCACATCAGACGCCAGTCATCGCATCATGCATCAGGATTTGAGCATGATGGTAGACAAGCATCTGAACAACTGCAGCCCTGGTGGGACGCTTCCAGTATGCAGCTTTCAGATCCCACCGAAAAGGTCGAAAGAAGGAAAGTCAGAGAAGCTGAGGGCGTTGAAGGCTTACTGATGCAGAAGGAAGGAGGAAAGCTGGCTCGACTCTAGTTTCTTAGTGTCCTATAATGAATGTCCAAAACCAGAGACAGGAACAGGGTCTGGGTCACTCCGTCGTGTTTGCTTGATTTAGCCGAGGTTTATGAACGTTGCTCACAGGTCGGTGTTTCTTCTGCAGGCGTTCCAGCGACAGGTTCACGAGCGGCTGACCCAGCTGGAGCTGGTCAACAAACAGTACCGCCGTCTGGCTCGAGAGAACCGCACGGACGCTGCCAGCAAGCTCCGAGTCATGGTGCATGATGGGAACCAGCGCTGGGACTGTCTGCAGAAGAGGGTGGCGTCTGTTCTCCGCAGACTCAAGGTGGGACCAGGGGTCAAAGGTCCTCCAATAGCTTGTTTCGTTAGCCCCTCCCCCGTTTAAGGTGCTCCAGGTAGGAGCAGTTCAAGTTAAAGTAAAAGCAGGAAGTTGGATAGAAAACAGAAACCCTTCCTGTGCTTGGCTCCGCCCTAAGCTGTCGGGATTTAGGTCGGCTTTCAGATGTTCAGGAGACGTCGTGTTCACAAGCTGCTGTTGCTACCATGACGTGATGCTGAGGAGA